TGAAGTGCGAACGCCGATAGCGGAGGGGTTGCCACTAGCGTCTGAGGGAAAAGAAGCGGAGACGCTGCCGAGAAAGGGCGGTGGAAGCCGGAAATCCAGCAAGGATAAGTTTCTAATCGCTGGTGGGCAGTTTGCTCTGGATCGCTTGATGCAGCCGACCTGACAATACATATGCGGTACACAGAGCGACACGACAAATTTATGCACCTATGACCCAGTATATGAACATTTCAAGAAGTTTTTTGCGGTACTTGTCCAGAACATCGAGTGTAAAGCTGCACAAGAGGCGATGCATTGACCAAGGACGTACAGGTCAAGAGCTACGCCGACGTATTATATGCCGCGGATAAGACGACTGGGAAATCCGTGAGTTGAGATTTGTCTCAAGTGCAGGGGATGTCAGCAGGATGTCAGTTACAGCAACAGTCTGTTGTGGTATAGCAACTATTCAGATCTGTGGCAATACACTCTTGAATTACCAAAATAGCAATCGCCAAGCCAGTCGGAGCAGTTGGGCTAGTACGTCGAATCAATTATCTTCGCGGTTCGCCCCTTCGGGCTCATTTGTGGCTCTTGCCTAGCTGTATACCCTAGCTGTTTACCTCCAACCTCTCACATTCCTTTCCAAAAGACTGCCTGATCTCAGCAGTTTCCGTTCCTCTAATCATGTACCTCGTACCAATGGGTAGAAATCGGTATTTTCACGCCTTTACAGGCCACTGGGAGCAGAATACGTCCAACTGGAAGACTAACGTTGTCTTTAATTAAAGATTCATCGGCTCGCCGCTTGACTAGTCTTTGTGCAGTGCCGTCTATTGGGCCAATCGATCGCCGTTCGCCGAGTCTTAAGACGGTACCGTCTCTTGGGTAACCGGCTCACCGTGCAGCGAGACTCAAAGCGGTACCGTCTACAGGGTCACCAGATCGCGGTGCGACGAGACTTAGAGCAGAGCCGTCTACTGGGTCAACAGCTCGCCGCGACGAGACTCATCTTTCTCTGGAAGCGAGCAATACCCACCCCGGCCTACTTAACTCTTGGCGCTTCCAATCGAGACCTCTACAAGTTATGCTCCTCGAGGCTCGACAGCAGGCATAATCTAGACCACGCAGGGACTTACCTCAAAAGTGTGCACGTGTCTTGTATTTGAAATATTCTGCTCTGTATTGATATTTTCTTATTCTCTTTCTGATTATAAGAGGACCCTTGAGTGGTTCTCCTTCACCCCCCTCGTCGACTCATACTAATGCCTAGTTTGATGGACAATTTATCGTCTTGTTATCTCGTCAAGGCTTGGCTCATCGAGACCTAGCTCGTCGAATCTTGTCTTATCGAGTCTTAACTCGTCGCGTCCAACTTCGTCGGGCCTTATATCGTCGAACCTTATATCTTCGAGCCTTGATTCGTCGACTTCGATGTGCTCGGACTCCCTCGTCGAGTTAACCACTCCTATTATCAAGTCGATAGTAGGTAGTTCCACGTTCAGAAATTCCCTACACCACACCACAGTAGAGTAATTGACAGCGGAGGTTGAATTCGTAGCTGCTACTGAGGGATAAAAAAGCTGATAGGGTTAAAAACTTGATGAATGAGATTGGATTCCAATTCAAGGCACCTATGCGAATGCTGGTCGACAATCAAGCATCGATAAAACAGATCCGGAACGAAGTGATCTCAAGCACCGCCAAGCATGTTGACGTGAAAATGAAAATTATTCGAGACGCGAGCGACAAATAAGGGATCATGTTTAAGTACGTTGGAAAAGGGATATGGTCGTGGACGTGTTCACTAAGAGCTTGGCCACCCCTATACTCAAGTAGTTGCGCGAGATGATAGGACTGGTGTGAACGTGGAGTTCGTGAGAGGAATACTAGAAGTACGATCGTGAGATCACCAAGACAGGATTGGGAGGTCCAGCACGGTTGACACGTGGGTCCACTATTTAAGATAACAGAAAGAATAAAATTAGTCTGAAGACGACAATGTAGGCCTCAACGGCACTCTGTAGCACCTGGAATTGCTAATTGTAACTACATATCTAAAGAAAATACATCACAGCTTCTTCGCCACAATGACAGCATATTCCATCGCTAGATTGTATTTACCATAAATGCGCGACAAGACCGGATAGGTATATTATACCATAAATGCGCTACAAGACCAGTTAGTTAACAACTGAATTTAGGTGAATTCAACGATGACTATTCTCGTGTTTTCTATACACCGATGAATCGACAGCATCTTTATTAAATGTAGAATTATCGCATTTTGGCTGGAAAACTGTCACATACGCATGTCAATCGAACTCTCTCAGCTTCTCCAGCGGTGGTTTTTATCCGTCTCTGCTTGGTGTGGCGATTTGTTGGAAGTGGTAGCACGATTCGGAAAGTAGTCGTGGAAAATCATAGCTTTCATCACTGCTTTTCTACCATACGCATACGACAATACAGTTTACTACTTCCTGCAACGAGCACAATCGATACGCGTTCAGATCGCTCATTCTACCACTTCGTAGAGACGAGGCGTTCATGATAGTGTGAGATGCTGCATGATGCCTTAATTGCTGCCAATTATTAGTGATGTCAGATGACTTAAACTCTCCATCAATGTCAAAATGAAGTTTTTGCACGATTTTGCCTGTCCAGGTTTACCGAATACAATAAGCTCGAACATCTTGGCCGTCATCTCGAACTTTTCCTCCATCAAATGCACCACACAAAATTGCGAGTCTCCGTCGCTAGATATAATGGAGTACCGACTGCCACGAAAATTATGGATCTGTTTTGGGCTGCAAAAGTAAGCGTGGAAAAAATTAGGCATGTGTTTATGTGAAGGTGTGGTTTACGTATATAACTTCCTCGCTTCCGATTGCAAAGAGCACCATCACAGATTCCCCACAACTTTACCGACACAACATCGATGCCAACACCATAGTTATTTTCGTATTCTTTCTGTATCTTTATAGGAGCAATTTGCTCCAGTCTACTGTGCCAGAGGCAAAAATTGGTTTCCTTATGCAACCCGCCGGGTCTGACACATCTGCTTATGGAGATGATATCGGTTCATGCACAGCTGTAAAAGTTCATGACTGTGCGCGCATCCAATTTGCATGTTATCTATTTTGCCTTCGCAAAGAATCCGTTCTATCTGACACGGGACATAGCCAACATATTTCGTATAGCGACCTACTAAGAATAGGGTGCGTGATAGATTAAAGTGTGCCCGTTACCTTGCTGTCAATTCTTATTGTTTGCACAGGCAACCTTTATTGTCATTAGAATTTCGTCTATCCCACTACTTGAACAGCACCGTAGCCCGCGAGAGGCACGTAAAATCTTTTTGTATTGTTTCATGTAACCGCGATTGAAGAATATGATGCATCGCGCCTGGGTCGACAAGCCAGACTTCACTTGCCATAGATGAGTCGCTACTGGCGGAAATCAGGTATTTGCAAGATTTTTGCTACCTGCGCGACACGTGCACGTTGTGGCCTCTGCCGCTGTACATTCTCACGGATCCTCACACGAAATTCGGCATATCGATATATTTATTTTGTAAAGAAGTAACCTGTGCTGATACCCTACTTCTTTTGTTCTCCTTTTTCTTGCCGTTATTGCTACCTATGAACGCTTGAACTTGACTTTTCATGGCTTCACCGGATCTAACGCTTTGTTCCTTGCGCTTCTGATCGATAAGCAAAAGTCGACGCTACGCGTTCCACATCAGCATTTCTATATTACATGGTGAGTCCGTTCAAATGTCATTGACACCATGGATGGCCAATGTTGAGAATATCAATATCGTATAATATACGTATATAATATTTACACTTACAAGTAAGTGTTGAAACTATGTGACATATTCAGGTAATCTTTGGTATTGGTCATTTACTGATTAGTATGGGTCACCATATCAACCAACTTTACCACCAATCGCTGCTAGACGTGCGCAATGAGTGGTGAGTAGGTAGCTATATTAGGAAAATGTAGCTTACCATAATTCAAGTAAGATCGAAAGGGGTTTATTTGAAGGTACAACTGTATCAAAAGCAGTTCTATATTCTTCCGTCTACGCCTGTTTGGGAGATACAGCCTTTCTTTGCACATACGTTGTACGTGCTGAATTGAGGAGGCTGCATACAATGTGTTCAGGGTAAGTAGATTGTCCTGTGTCAGCACAAGCGGAGGATACCCCGTTTTGTGGGCAACATGGAAGGTCGTCGTTCGCGTCAACGAATTTGCGGTATCACTTAGAGAAACACTCTAAGTAACATCGCACATTCGGTAACGACGGCCTCCCATATTCGAAACTATGAAAGTAGTACAAACGTAAGCTGTAACTATCTGCTAGCCTCCATTGCGCGCGTCCACCATAATTTGGACGCTTTGTTGGCAGATAGAATAGCCTTATGTCTCATAATGAGCAAAAGTCACCGAATATCACCTTTTGACGTAATATTCCAACACATTGTCCGTAACGATGATATTCGCATTGACATTTACGAATGTCAATTTCATGTAACTAGACTCTCGTTTACAGGCACCAGATCGTAAGGCTGAGCTGACAGCCTGACCTCCTCCTGCTTGTGCGGCTTCGTTTGCGGTTTGATAGTCGCAGCGCCAGCACGACCTTTCGAAAACCTATCAAACTTTGCAGAGGGACAACGTTATGGGCGTGAATTTTGAATCGGGCTCGCCGATGGGCGGCAATGGAGCAAATAGATCTTTTTTGACAAGACTGCGGCGGCCGAAAAGCTGCTATTACGCAGAAGCATCTGTTTGCGCTGCTACACACATGAAGCCCATGAGAAGTTTCAAAGTTCGACGAGTTTCCTGCACAAGAATGAGGTAGGAACACTTTTGACAAAAGGGGAGCGGGTCCATGCACCTGTCTTGTTTGTTTGTTCCCTTTGTGCGGTCGTATGTATTTCGACCAATGAAAACGCCACCGCATCGCATTGTAAACAACGCGAAAGAAAAGTCTTCGCCGGCTGTCTGTGCCCATGGCGTCGGTCGCCAAGATGAGCGTCGCGATGCCGTCCGCACCACAAGCTGCTGCTGCTGCTACTACTACTACTGATACTGCTGTCTCTTCATCGCGACAGATGCAGCTGCGCATGCTGGCGCAGTACCAGGTGCTGCACACGCTCGGGTCTGGTCTCCAAGGCAAAGTCAAGCTTGGCGTGGATCCTGTCACTCAGCAGCGCGTGGCGCTCAAGATCATTGACAGGGCCAAACTGCACCGGAAAGCCATGATCAATGTCTACCGCGAAGTGGAATCCATGTCGCGCGTGTCGCACGCGAACGTGCTGCGTCTGCTTGCAGTGCACGACGGTCTATTGTACCCAAAACGAGACGGCAGCAGCAGCAAGCAGGTGATTGTGATTGTCCTCGAACTGGCCGCGGGGGGAGAGCTCTTTGACTTTATGATGTACACGGGCTGCTTCTCGGAGAGCATTGCGCGTGCCTACTTCCAGCAGCTTGTAGCTGGATTAGAGGCTTGTCATGCTCAAGGAGTGTACCATCGAGACATTAAGCCAGAGAACTTGCTGCTGGATGCCAACTTTGTGCTGAAAATTGCAGACTTTGGGCTCTCGGGACTCAAAGGAAGGGCAGATGGAGCTGTCGTGGAGCTTTACACGCAGTGTGGCACCCGAGGATACATGAGTCCGGAAGTGCTGTCGTGTGTGCCGTACGAAGGAGAACCGGCCGACGTGTGGTCAGCTGGAGTAGTGCTCTTCATCATGCTCGCAGGCTTCCCGCCCTTTCAAATCGCTGCTGACCAAGACTGGTGGTTTAGAGCTTGCGCGACAAAACAGTACGACGCCTTTTGGGCGGCGCATGCTCGTTCTGGCACGTTTTCGGCTAACGCCATGTCACTTTTGTCGCGTATCTTCCACGTGGACCCACAAGAACGCATCACTATAGCAGAGATCAAGTCACATGCCTGGTTTAAGGAAAACGTAGTTGCATCGGAGGATCTGCGTGCAGAGCTCTTGAGCCGCAAACTGCAGGTGGAGAAGGAAAAGCGCAAAGAGCGCGACGAAAAGATGCGTGTAGCTGCAACGAAACGGCTGCAGCAGCAGGACGAAGAGTTTGACCCTTTTGATGTAGACGTTGAGCGATCGATGACATTTCCGACCGCTACAGCGTTTGCGACTATAGGGCAGATCACGAGGAAGCCACCGTCCTACCTGGCATCAGATGTAGCGCTTTACACAAGTTTCCGGTCGAGCCGGACAGCGACTGAGCTGCAGATGCGGGTGGAAAAAGCGCTGAAAGAGCAGTCGGCGCGCTTTGTGGTTCACAAGGACCGTTTTAAAACCAAGGTCACAATGACTACTGACGCAGGGGACGTGGGATTCGCAGTGCGCATCTTCTCTCTCGACAATGTACGAAGCTTTTGCGAAGTTTGCTGTCGGCAGTCGGAACGCATCATCATTGCGAGCAAGCGACAGAGGCTTGTCGCAACAGCACCACCAAGCTGCCGTTGCCGCCTTGTCCCTGGCGCTGGCGCGCTACGCCTGCACATTTTAGCTGCCGGCGACCTTGTGATGACGGACGTATGCTGACGTAAGATGTGCTTGACTGCAACTTGTTGTTATGCAGGCCGCGGGCCAACGACTGGTGGAATTTAGGCGTGCGAATGGCGAGTGCCTCAAGTTCCAAGAAGCGTACAAGAAGCTGAGAAACTCGCTGTCGGACCTCATCTGTGACAAAAACGACGAGACAGAACCGACGAACAACTCGTTTGCAGACGAAATCGCTTCGGACAATTCGTGATGTAAGCTTTCTGGCACGGCACGACATGAGCAGATCAACGCGGTAAGGAACAAAGTGGCATGATCTGGTGCTCGTCGTGGCACGCTGAACGGTATTATTATTCATTGTCAGGATGCAGTTGTGACGCGCTGCCACCGTTGTCATTTGTTAACATAGAATCAGGTCTTGACATTGCGCCACCTGATCTGACAGCGATGAGCGCGGCCGGATGTCTACAAACGTCGAGAAGTCATAGCTCCGATCATCTTTTAGTATCTTAGTGCACCCCAGTCGGTTGAATTTATTACCGACCGCGACCCTTATTATTAGCTGCTACTGATTAATCTATAAAGACAAAGAGCGGCGATGGAAAATTTACTGATAGTGCTCGAGTCGTATTTGCGTGAGCTCGATTAGCCGATCGTCTGCAGCACGAATACAAATTGGCAAGAACGGATATTTACTCGTTCGACTGATCTCTTGCTGTCTCATACCGCATATATCGCATACGTGACAGCATAGCTTAGAAATCCCAGAAAATTCACAGTAGATCGAGAGCACGATGCCCCCTCAACAGGCAACGATCCCAACAAAGCACGTTTTTCAGCTGTCAGCGCCCCAGCAACTGCTACTGATTGGTCAAGTGCGTGGTCCTCGGTATTGTCTCCGCCTAAGTGCGAACCACCGCCGACAGCGATGGAAGCTGCGACCCCACGAGCGGATGCGGCGGCGGCGACGGCCGATGTGCAGCAGCAGATCGAGTCGTCTGTGCTCCGAACTGCCGAACTGTTTGTGCTGACGAAGCGCAGAGACGCGTGGGCGCACGACTTTGCGCCCAGGTACACGAAGTGCCCGACCGCTCGTGGAGACGCATAGCGCCGTCTGACGTGTCCATTGAGTTGTTGTTGTTGTTGTTGTTGTTGTTGCTGTGTGTGTGTGCCGTTCTGGTCGTTCGCTAGCAAACGAGTGCGCGTGCGGACGAAGCTGCATGATTCGTACTTACTGGAGATTCCGGAAGCGTTGCTGGAGTCGAAGGGCTCAGCTGGAGCCACGGGGTCTCCTCCTGAGACGACGGAGGGTGCAGTCTCTGGTCCTGCTTTACCATCGACAGATGGGGTCCGTGAGGGCCGTCCCGTTCCGTCTCGACCTGGTGGCGTTTCGGTTGCAGCGGGTGAAGAAGAACCGGTGGAAGCTGATGCGAAGCTGTCGTTCGTGGACCAAGTGGCGAAAGAGGTGGAGCAGGAGTTGGCACTCACGAAACGGAAGCTGTACGTTGAGCAGTTCAGCGCCATCTTTCTCGGCTATGCAGTATGCCGTGTGGCGTGCCTTATGCTTTGTCTCTCTCTCTCTTTCTCTGATTTCACTTGGACGGGGTGCGACCTGTTAGTGCCGCAGCAAATATGAACGGAGGGACCCCGTCGGCTGTCGTGCAGTACAAGGAGCAAACAGAGACGTCTACTCAGCTAGGCACGATCCGCCGCCGTGCGACAGAGGTGCCAAAGCCGAAGTGGCACGCGCCGTGGAAGCTCAAGCGTGTGATTGCTGGACACCTCGGATGGGTGCGCTCGATTTCCGTCGACCCTACGAACGACTGGTTTGTCACGGGCTCTGCTGATCGGACGATCAAGGTTTGGGACTTGGCATCAGGGCAGTTGAAGCTCACGCTCACTGGGCACATCAACGCTATTCGCGGTCTGGAAGTGAGCTCGCGCCACCCGTACCTTTTCTCAGCAGGAGAAGACAAAAAGGTGCTGTGCTGGGACCTCGAGTACAACAAGGTCATTCGGAGCTACCACGGTCACCTGTCGGGCGTGTTTTCGGTGAAACTGCACCCAGCGCTTGATATCCTTGTCACTGGAGGTCGCGATGCCGTTGCCAGAGTCAGTGCTTGTTGCACGTCTACAGATCTGAGTAAGCAAAGCGTGAAGGTTCTTTCCCTGACTCGTGTGTCTGATAGGTGTGGGACATGCGAACGAAGAGCCCGATTCACGTGCTTTCGGGCCACCAGGGCACTGTGTGGGGCTTGGAGACGCAAACAACGGATCCACAGATCATTACTGGCTCCAGCGATAGCACAGTCAAGGTACACTAGCGTGCTGGGCGTTGTATCATATCTTTCGCTTTGCCTCACGCTCGTTTTGCCGTTACGTGTGCCTGCCATAGCTGTGGGATCTGGCTGCCGGAAAGGTGATGACAACGATGACAAACCACAAGAAGGCTGTCCGCGTCGTGACAAAATCCCCGACGGTATGCTTTGTTGTTGTAGGCTCCTGCGTCTCTTGCCACTAGTGGAGATAGGCTTACGTTTCGATTGCTTGATTACAGGATCACACATTCATGTCGGGCGCGGCGGATAATATGAAAAAGTGGGAGGCAAAGGAAGGCATGTTTCTGCGCAATTTCTCGACACACAATGCGATCATCAACTCGATCTCGATCAACCAGGACGGCGTGATGGCCTCATGTGGAGACAACGGGTCGATGCGCTTTTGGGACTACCAGACAGGCTATTGCTTCCAGACCGACTCAACAAAGGCGCAACCCGGCTCCCTGGACAGCGAGACGGGCATTTATGCGTCGACTTTTGACAAGACAGGCTTGTACGTGCAAGCAGCTGACGATGTATAACACTTGCCTATCTGTGGCTGACTTGTTTATGTCGTGTAGACGGTTTATCACGTGCGAGGCGGATAAGACCATCAAGGTGTGGCAAGAGGATAGCTCGGCATCAGAGGAGTCGCACCCTATCGATATGGCCCAGTGGACAAAGGACTTTACGGCCCCGAAGCGACATTAGCGTCCCGGCTACAAAGTCGTGCATGCGGAAACGGGATACAGTGGCGCAAATCGGTGTTTCGACGACCGTGAGGTCATGAACGACGCAAGAGATACCACGAAAGTCATCCTAGTTCGTGCCACGGATGTAGGACGCGCTCTTTTGATTGAATACAGCTGGAATAGTGCTGTGTAGCGCGCATGTTCACATGATGCTTGGTAGCTCATGTGTAATGTATTCTGGCAGGAGTCAAAGATTTGTCTTCTACATAGTGCAGGACAAAGGTAAACCGAAAAGAATGTCATCGGTCGGCAGCAAGTGTCACCTGTCGGGACAAGAAGATTGCCGGTGTGCGCTCGCTTCTGCAATATGTGCCAAACCCACGAGCCGGCGTCGAGACAGTTTCACGAATCCGCATCGCAGTACAGCAATGTTTCAATCACTACAAACAAACAGACATGCGTCCATTGTGTAAATGAAGCGTACCTTCACAAATACTTGACGACACAATCATAGCTTCTGTGAGAATGGCGATGCATTCTGCCGGACAAAATCTACTGAGCTGACAAGCCGGCACAAATTTGGCGCAGATGATGGCACAATTTGCGCACTTGTGAAAGCCGTGGTCGTCCGACCTGCCATTAGCTGCCGCATCAGTGGACGCCACTTCCAGGTCGAAGATGATGGCGTGGCTAAAACTGGCAGTGCGTGTCGATGGAGCAGGCCGCTTGGTGAAATCCGTCAACGGTCAACTGAATGGCCCCCCATCAGCGAGAGCATCTGAATGCAGACAGGACATAGCTTTAACATCACAGTGTCGCCTGACAACTCGCCACCACGCACATATCCAACGCGCCCCGAATTACATCTCAATGGCGGCCGCCACTGACAGTGCTGCGTTGCCGTTGCTGTTTGTCAATTATCTGCACGCGTCGGCCGAAGTGGAGAAATCGCTCGGTTCCCAGTTCCCAGTACCGTTCCAACCATCCTCGTTCATGAAAAACGACGAGGAGGTCACGAAGTAATACTGTCGTCGCATCCGAGCAAGAGCTACAGGTCTCACCAGAACGATTTGTCGGCGCGCAATGTACTCCACCACCAGACACCATCTTGCCCAGAATGTGTTTTACTTGAGCACCACGATACGGATCACTTTGCTTTGTCTCTGGATGTGCAGCAGCACAGCCTTCTTCGGCATACCTGATTTGGTGAAGCAATGACTTGCTCAAGAGAGGTTTTGCGTAAGAGTGGTCGTCCTCGGTGACAATCGTGCTATACGCTGGTGCAAGCAGGACACTATACGTCGATGCGTGAACAGCATTCTCCCCCACAGAAGTGGTAGTCATACCCTTACTAAATTCCAGATCTCGTGACAGTTCCCATATTGCCATTCGGAGACGTAAAAGCAGTTTCGGTGAGCCCTAGATTGGTGACGACGGTATCCGTTGCGTGGGTCCAGCCTAGTTGACCTCGCTACTGTCCTTGAGCGGCTTACCAGCTACAACAGCGACACTGATTTTGACATCAGGCTCGAAACATGTGACTCCGTTTTTACAAATGTCGATGATGGAGGGGACGGTACTACCGTTGAATGCATCGTCGGCGCCGAAAGTACCGACACTGCTGTCAGGTGTCGCAATGTCGACATCGCCTTGGCCTTGTGGCAGCCGGCCATCATGTGACTGTGATGCATCTCGAGTCACGAGACGTTCGTCACAGTCAGCTACACCACGCTTTCCACTCGACAAAGAGTCATCGTCGACATTCCGCAACAACTCAGAGGTCGTTGTGCTATCCGGTTCCCTTGCCGATAACCCCTCCTCGCTGACCCTTTTGTCACTCGATACAGAAGGCAATGACATCGGCTCCACCACACTTATATCCACTGTCGCCTTACGACTACGGCTTTTTCCTGTCTTTGGAAATGGCTTTCGTTGCGGTTTAGTAGACCGCATGTACGGTTTTCGATACGTCCTTTGTATTTGATCATCATAGCGGGAATTGAGATATCGAGTGCGCTTGCCGGCGACGCGAACTTCCCGCCACTCTTCGTGCTTCTTTTGCTGTTCTTGATACTTGCGCCAAATCTTAGCTGCCTGATAGCGCATAAAGTCTCGCTTGCAAAATATCACCACCGTCCGATTCACAGCATGTCCATGCGACACTGTAGCTGAGTCAACGGCAGACGCTGCACCCGATCCATATGTTGGGATAAGCTCTTCGTCCAACCGTAGCGGTCCCTGCACTTGCTGTTGCCGAATTGTAAGCTTAGGGCGGGTCGGCCTTGCAAGAGGCAACTTAGCTCTTCGTCTCTTCTTCAGTAAGATGTCCGTTTCATTATCGATTATTTCCGATTTGATCGAGGAACACATTCCACTTACCACTCTCGAATCATGCACCGAGCGTTCGGAGCGCGGCTGCTGCCACCGATGTTGCTTGTACAACTGACCTATCGGCTCGTCGAATCCACTGTTCGCACATGGCTCTCTTTTAATCAACGCACATGGCTCTTCCATCCTTCGGTTCCTGTCAGAGACACCCACGTGCAGCGAGTCGAGCACTTGCTTACGAGACGAGACTCCTCTTGACCTCGCCGTATCAAGATGTAGTGTCCTAGTCCGCTGATTTGACGTCAACGCCCTAGAAGGTTTACACACGCCAGCATTCATATCCACCATCTTCGTGGTGACCAGATTCGGCCGCCCGTTCTTTTGCTTAACTGTGACAGCAGACGACTTAGCAGCACGAACGGGCATCGTTGACTGCGAATATAGGCTTGAGGCCCCTGCAACTGAAGATTGCACCTGCTTCGATGCCCGAGCAGCACGGGACTCCATGAAAGCCAAGTACATAGGAGTGCACGGCTTGGCGGTCGGTGTGATTGACGAGGCTGACACGTCATTTGCATCTCGGGTCTGTAGGAGGACCCCCGTGGGCCTGCTTTTGGGTGATGGCTGATGGTCCCGCGCGCTCTGACGCTCAGGCACTTTCTGCCGCTTTGTTGGGATGTTTGGCGTTCGCACCTTGCGCTTGCACGGCACTCGATCGTGTGTGCCATCTCGCGATCGATGTCTTGACATGCTTGCCTTATTGGACTGATCCTCACCGTTTAGTATATCTTGCATCGTCACAAGCCGAGCCGCATGCGATGCCAGTGATATTCCAGGCACTACAGCAGCTCGAGAGGGCTGAATGGATGATCGCGCGTCGTCTTGTCCCTGTACACCCTTGTCTGCCTCATTCTGAATCGGACATTGAACCGGACTCGGGGTGCATGTGGTTCCATCCGCCGAAGCGTCAGCATGCTTTGCATCAAAGCCAGCAGAAACATCACGAGTCGCGCTCGAGGTACATGCAGCCGTACCCACAACAGCTCCAGCATGTCTTGCATCCAAGCCAGCCAAAACATCGTGAGCCGGACTCAAGTTACACGTGGCCTCATTCACAAAGACTTTGCCATGTGTGGCATCAGAGACAGCAGGTCTGCCCGCAGCAGGAAGCGCTGTGCTCGCAGTGACATGTCTTGCGGCGTTGCCCAGGAAAGCGCCATCGTGGCTTGACCGGTCTGTGCGTGTTGACATACCAAACTCTTCGCTACTACAGCGTTGGCAACTTTCGGCGGGGTGATACGAATCTTTGTGCGGGAGCTGTTGCGAATGAATGCATTGGTCTGATTCCTGCAACCGATCACGTTCCACTTTGTCCGTCTGAACAGCAGCCGACAACACTGAACTGGTTTGGGCCCATTGATACAGCGCGACACTCATAGCACACAGTGTGCAATTGTGGCGCTGGATGTGCAATTGGACGGACTCTGCAGTCGGTGGTCGAGCACGCATCTCATCGCGTGCGTCCGCTGCTCCTTCTCGCTGCATCCTATTAGCGCCGTACTCCAACATATACAACGGCGCTGCTGGTGGTGCTCGTGTTGCTTCAGCCAGCAATGGTCTCCGGCCGTCACCGCCGCCGTAGCGAAACTCGGCGGTGTTCCACACCTCACGATGCAGCGCAGAGGTCTGCCGCCTGTCACTCTGAAGACCCCACGCAGGTCCATCTCCACACTGCGCGCCGCTGCTCCACGTCGCTGCGTTCACTCCATTGGTCTCCACACAGTGCCACGGAGTCGGCTCCTGCATCGACTGCTGCTCCAGTGGCACTCGCACTGCGTCGAGCGGCTGTCGACGCCACTCGTTGTTGAGCGTCGACGAGGACGTACGTCTGTCCACCGACAGGAGCGCCCCGTCGTCCCGTTGGGAGCCCAAAGACGACGTCACGCGGCCCCTGTCGCTCGACGGACGTCCATAGACTGAGAGGCCGCAGACGTCCGGCGGCATCGCGTGGACCGGCGCAGGGGGCAGCGAATGGGACAGAGACGTGGGCGACTGCTGTTGAAGCGGCTGACGGCGCGCAGTCGCGAGTGGCTCACTGTGGCGCAAAGCGTACAGCGCTCGGGCCGAGTGCGCAGGGGGGTGGAGCGGCACTGCCGCCGACGAGGCAGTGGACGCTGCGCCCCACGCCGGGTCTGCCATTGTGATGTGGCCGTCCCGTTGAGGCGTAGTGGGCGACTGGTAAACTGACGACGGACTGATCGTCGGGCGCTGTCTCGTGTGGGATGGGTGGGTGGGTGGGTGAATGAGATTGATCGTCCAGACTGGAGAAGTGTGTGTGTGTGTGTGTGTGTGTGTGTGTGACAGACAACACAGGTGGATGGGGCGGGTGGGTGTACGACGAGGGGGTTCGTTGTACGACGAACGATCGAGGCGATTTGCAGGTTGACAGCGCCCAGATGGACGGAAGAGTGTGGGGGGCTGGTGCTAAGTTGACAACGCCCAGCTCGTGTGGTTGCAGCTGAGACTAGTATACGCCGTTGACTCAAAGCATCGTCGTGCAAAATGGCACGTCGATGGTGTTGCGACAAAAAGCTTTTCACGGTCCTTGGTGCAGCCCGTAAAACAGGCTTTATATAATATTTAGTCGGTTTGACAGCGACTCAGATCCAAGATCGTGTTTGAGTCTGTTTTCGAGTACAATTGCTCAGTCGCTTGACGTAAACGCATCGATCTTTTCCCGAGCCTTTTAACAAAGTACACGCCATTCGCCGCACCCACTTCTGGCATGCTTTCCACATCACAAAAGAAAAAGAGAACAAATGCGCTACAAGATGACAAATAAAATCGCAGCAAAGACGCACCACTGGTGCGAGCTACACGACCTGATCTATACATGCCTGCGATCGTTGATATATATATATTGTGTACACCTACGTAATTGCCTCTCTACTAAAATTAATTTAATTGATGAATCTAAATTGTCTACAGTCGAATTGCATGAAGTAACGAGTGCTCCGACGCTTCAAGCGCAGCCTCACACTGCTGTTCATCGTTCGACTGTAGTATGCCCACAGTTCTTCCAGCCATTCACACAGCTTCCATAGCTCGACATTGTAGTAAAGTGTAGCTCGGATGCGCGTGGCCACGTGAGAAACATTGCACGGTAACAAAAAACGTGCAATGCTGATAGACTGTTGTGGTCGTCGCACTAAAAAAGACGCTGATGGTGGGAGTGACGTCGGAGTGATATGGCATTTGCGGTACGGATGCTGCTGCTGCAAAGAAAGAAAGAAACAGTGCAATGATCTGCAGTGGAGGGCATTGAGGCCCATGTGCGCAGCGGCTCAGTCCTCGAGGTCCACTTCGAACATGCGACTCGAGATACTGATGCATCATTATGCGATACATCCTCGACAAAGCCGCTCTACGTGCAAGAGAGCGGAAATTATGAACACGTATATCGCAGAGTTTACGTATCCGAGCAAAGGTACCGACTGGCGTGTGCACAACCTCCAGCTGCACTATTGTTTTGCAAGCTTTAGATCTTGCAGGTGGTGCGAGTCGAACAGGTCAGTCAAAGAAGGGCGCAGCTTTCAACTTACCACGGCCAAAGGGTCGACAAGGCTCGTCACGTTTTCAAGGAACGAATGCGACTCTTATCCTGCGAACAAGTGAGACACTAGTGCCGTTCAATAGTTTGTTCAGAGTACAAATCTGTTGTACGTGAGCATTCGGTCCACAGCAGCTGCGTGGGTGCTCTGTAAGCTTCGCACTCGACAGGTTCATCTCTCTGGTACCTTGTTGCCAGTCAGGCACTTTTGGTTCATGGCCGGACAACGCTTTAGCTCTCGTGGCCCAATTCCTTCAGTGAGTGTTGCGCTGACCCACGACGCAACGGCTTCTGTTGCGACGCGTGAGGAGACCAGCCGATCAGATAAATGACTTGGAACGTGGCGGGCACTGTGCCGTCCGGTTGACCGAACATGGACTGGTAGATGGAAGCAGCAGCGAGCAACGAGTCGCGCGTTGCGGGAGCTCCCCGCGAGTTCACGGCGTGGTTCTCGCCCATACCTCGTAAATGCTCCATCAGCACAAAGGCGTTCGGGTAGTCCACTTGAATGTAGTCCGTGTCCACTGGGTGCAAGAAAACCACAAGTCAGAGGCGATTGTCACTTTTGCCGTTGACGTGGTCGGTAGCATTTACCTGTGCACAAACTGAAGCCAGCGGCCGACAAGAGGTTGCCAGCATCCGCAACGTTCATGAACGGGGAGATGTGGGGCGAGACACCGCCCTGACGCTCCTGGTCCCCGAGAATGAAAGCACTCCTGTACATGCAAATGTGATGCAATGTGAGTGCGGCAGCAACTCCATGTTGTTCCGCCCAGTACGCTTCGGCATCAGCCTACCGTAGCTCTTGCAGCGAGTCTCCCCCCAGGACGGCACCAATAAAAGCGCCATCGGGCTTGAGCGTGTTTAGCACCTGGGAAAATGTGCTTTCGAGGTCGTTCACCCAGTGCAAACTTAGTGAGCTCATCACCAAGTCAAAGTGGTGGACTGGAAACGGCAGGAACTCTTCGTCTACCACCAGGCGTGTCGTACGTACTGCATCGATGGCGGCGTTTCACAGCAAAAAACAGACACGAGCCTCATGAGCAGCTTCCTCAGTAGCTATCCCACATGCAGCCACGATCGTACGTGAGGTAGCAGTCTCGAGGTCGTCACGAAGGAGCAGTCTCTCTGCATCCCGCGACCCAACAACACGATGTCAGACACCAGCTCGTGTCACCACAGTCGCTCCTCGACACGCTCGTACCCGCCACGTCACATTGCACCAGCTTCTCGATACCCCCCAGCTTGTCGTCGACGCTCAACTGCTTGTACAAATGGCCACTGCCACAGCCCAAGTCCAGCGCCAACGGGAACTCGCGCTCAATGTCCTGCCACCAGTCGCAAACAGCCATCAGCACGAGCCCCACGTCCAGTCTTTCGGTCCAGACGACACGAGAACGAGCCAACAAGTGGCGCCCACGTAGCGCACCTCGAGCCGATCGAGCAGGCGACGGGCGACTTCGTCCTTGAGGTACTCGTACTCGTCGCTGTTCGCCAAGCGCGCAATGTTGTTGCGATGCTGCCGCTTGACCGCTGCCACATGCCACAGACAACAAGTGAGCCAATGCAACGCCACTGTTGGTTTCATCATTCGGTCAATAGTCGAACAGCTCTTCGCGCGTCAGTCGTTTGCCCCCACCTCTATTGAAGATCGGAGTCGCGGAGAACGACCGTCTCGCGAGATGACGTCGTGCGAGCGCAGCCAAACGATTCTGCAACGGAGCAGCAGCAATGGGTTAGCCACAGGCACAGACGTGGCATGAGAGCGTGCGAAGGACTGGTCAGGACGGCGTCTGCAGGTGCGTCGGCGGTGTCGTACCATGTGATGAAAAAAAGAGTCGCTCAGAATGAAATGGACAGGAACAAAATGGGCACATTGAGACTCTTTTTTGGCTTCGTTTGTTTGGATCGAGTTGCGAAAAAGGTGACTGGAGTTTGCCAGAGGGCCAACATGTGTCTGGAAATGCGGGTGACGGCAGCGAACGGTAAAACGGCAGTGCAATCGGTACAACTCGTCCTGCAGCCCAATACGGGATTTTGGACGCAGACGCTTCGTCCGCTTGCTAATGCGCTCTGCTCGAGCCTTTGCCGCGCCATGGCGCCGAGTCACTGAAAATCGGGATAAAGTTGTTGATGGCGTCGCGCTGGTTCTGTACGATGCACTCGCAGATCCACACCAAATTGCGCACCTCCTGTTCTTTCAGCTTGATGTACGCGTAGAAGCAAGCTGCAGAGGACACAAAGAAGTTCACAAGACTGGTCAGCTGGACGCACAGATAGCAGGCACAGCCAGTGCATGTATCCGTACCAAAATGCATTTGGCTCTGGAACGCCAGCTCAGCCATCTGGACGTCACGCTCGTAGAACGCGTCGTCAATGGACTTGCTGTCGACGCCCTCACCCTGATGCACCTCCCAGATCTTGCGGTACACTGGAAACGACTCCAGTGCCGAGCCAAGCGCTGACTCGTCGCCGGCTTCCGCCAAAAGCGCCGTCGTGTCCGGGTATAGCGTGCCGATGGATGGATACAGCGGCTTGCGGTCCGAAATTCGCATCGCAGGCTAGAGCGCAACGTAGCACATATGACAAGCTGAGATCAGTCTGCTTCTCTACGTCTGGCAGCACAAGCACCATAGACAACACACCTCGTTCAACGGCGTGCCGAATGAGTTCAGCGTGATGTTGATGGCGATGCGGTCGGCGCGTGCTTTGAGGATTTCTCCCATGATGACAGCCGTGTCACCACCAATCTCCTGCGATGCAAAGTGACGGCATTCAGTACATGAGCGTCAAGACGCAGCGTGCGAATGTCGAAAGAAGCATCAAGAGTGGCGCGTACCTGGCAGAAGTTGTAATAGTCTTCGAGCCATAACTTCAGCATGCTGTTCTTGATGAGTTCCATCTGCACCTCCTCCAAGACGTTGCGCACGTCCGACGTGCTGTCCATGCGGTCTCCACCTGCACTTTCTTCCAAGAACTGACTGAAGTATGAACCTGCAAGAAAAAGTAGCGCCATTTGTTAGTCTGACAGAACAGCGATACCCACAATCGCACGTCCGTGCACTGACCGATGGGCGTATCGATCAGCACAGTCTCGTACAAGTCCGAGTAGCCTTTGGCGTTCGGCTCGAACGAGCACATGCTGCGCATGATGGATTCGTCGAACTTTCCAAGCGGGTGGAGCTACCAGGTAGCAGAAGCGCAACAAATGACCGCGATCAGCCGCACAGAAAAGTCAAATAGAAGCAGCTCCTGCAGATAGCTTCGGTTCTTTTCACCTGTCCGATGAGCTCGTTTACATCGCGACCGTTGAGAGTGCCCTTGAGCAGGAGGATCACGTTGTCAATCATGTATTCGTATCTACCGCATTCCCATTGTACACAAGCAGACAGTTAGAACAACACAGCACCAAGTCACCCACAACTTTCTTCCATCTACATCACAACGCTGAAGTTATCCCAACAGTTACCAAGCAACGAAGTAACGTACGTGATAAAGTCGAGGAACTTGCCCAGCGGCTCCATGGCTTGTGCCCGCAAGAAGTTGAACTCCTCGACAAGTTTGTTGGTCGTGCCGCCTTGGATCAATCCGGGCGAGATCGTACCCAGCGACTTCAGCGGACAACAAGTTATCGACACAGACGTGAGCACAGTCAGCAGATAGCAGATGAGAGGTAGGAGCAATTCCAATAGCAATATCGCAAAACCACAAACACGGACGACGCCACTTGCCTCGTCTGCCAGGAACTGGTCATAGTCCGTCTCCTGCAAGTTCAGCTTTACATCTATACAGAGACAAGGGACGAGGGAGAGACACACGCACATATCTCAATCAACATTCTCTCCCCACGAATCGCTGCCTACTGAAACCAAGTGAAAATAAAAAACCGTCTCCCAGTAGCTCCTCGCATCGTACCTTCGAGGCTCTCGCACTGCGTGAGGTGGTGGTAGTCGACGTCGTCCAGAAAGCCCGAGCGAAAGCCACGCACGAGCGCCTCCACGTATCCGTGTTGCACGTTAAACGTCGCGATCCCTCCTGCCGTCGCGCCGACCATTTCTGCTCTCGTGCTGCCGGACGTACGGACACCGACCGCGTCCGAAGAAATAAAAAACACACAGCTAAATATCTTCGCTGCAAAAATAGACAACGCGCTCGGAGACTGTTCGATGGCTACCCCCGACGAATCCGCTTATCGATTTCGAAAGGATCGGCTGCCGGCCACTCCATCTTCGCGCTATGTTTCGCTGGCGCGTGCGTCGCAGCTGCTTCGCGACGGCGTCAGCAGCAGCGGCGCCATCACGCGCGTGGGCGCCCATTGAGGCGAAATGGCAACAGCGATGGGCGAAGCAGAATCTGCCGATGCGCGAAAGTCAGGACGCGAAGCAGCAACAGGAGCAGCAGCAGCAGCAGAAGACGACGGCGCCGAAGACGCCCTTTTACTGCCTCTCCATGTTCCCATACCCGTCTGGACAGCTCCATATTGGGCACGTGCGCGTGTACACGATCAGCGACTGCATGGCGAGACTCAAGCGGATGCAGGGATACGACGTGCTGCATCCCATGGGTTGGGACGCGTTTGGACTGCCAGCGGAGAACGCGGCTATCGAGCGCGGCATCTCGCCTGCAGTCTGGACAGCCGCGAATATTGAACAGGCCAAGCAGCAGCTCAAGGCGCTTGGGATGTCGTTCGACTGGGACCGTGAAGTCACGACGTGTGCGCCCGACTACTACAAGTGGACGCAGTGGCTCTTTTTGCAAATGTTCGAGAAAGGGCTCGCGTATCGTAAAGAAGCGCTCGTGAACTGGGATCCGGTGGACCAGACCGTGTTGGCGAACGAACAGGTGGACGCAGAAGGCAAGTCGTGGCGTTCTGGTGCGATTGTCGAGCAGCGCTCGCTGAACCAGTGGTTCCTGCGCATTACCGAGTATGGCGATCGACTGCTGGATGACCTCAACAAGGTACGATGGACCTCTCTGCATTAACAAAAGCCTTGTAGATATGGTCTTAACGACTGTCGGACGGCGTACACAGCTGCCCAAGTGGCCGGACTCGGTGAAGCGCATGCAGGCAGCGTGGATTGGACGCTCGCAGGGCTCGACGGCAGAGTTCCCGGTTGTGCTAGAATCTGCGACGACGGCTGACGGTGCTGCTAGGCCAATGCGTTTGACGGTCTTTACGACGCGAGTGGACACGATCTTTGGTGTGAGCTTTCTGTCAATGGCTCCCGACTCTGTCGAAGTGGAGACGCTTCTCCCACACGTTCCGGCAGCACAGTCGGCTGCAGTCAATGCCTATGTCAGAAAAGTGCGTGCAATGAGCAAAACTGATCGAGGCAAGGGTGACACGACGGCTGGAGTGTTTACAGGACTGTACGCGTGTCATCCGCTTACCAAACGCCATGTACCCATTTACTTGGCCGAGTATGTGTTACCGCATTACGGCACTGGCGTGGTCATGGGCGTGCCAGCACATGATAGCCGAGATCTTGCATTCGCTCGTCACTACGATCTAGAAGTGCGCTCTGTTGTAAGGAATAGCGACGGCGCTGTGTGGAACGGAGACGACGTGTTTACAGATTATGGTGTGCTGCACGACTGTGGCGAGTTCTCGGGCATGACGTCACAGGAAGCAACCACGGCCATTAACGCTCGCCTCAGTGATGAGAGCGTTGGTGGCGTCACTACCCAATTCCGCTTGCGTGACTGGTTAGTATCTCGCCAGCGCTACTGGGGTACGCCTGTACCGGTCATTCATTGCCCATCGTGCGGACCGGTGGGAGTTCCAACTGAGCAGCTACCAGTTGTTCTACCGCCTGTTGGAGAAGATGTGGCTCGCGACTTGCGTGGCAAGCATAGTAGTGGCTCACCCCTCACGCGTATTCCTGGTTGGCAAGATTGCAAGTGCCCGCGTTGTGGTGGCGACGCCGAGCGCGACACCGACACACTTGATACGTTTGTTGACAGCTCATGGTACTACATGCGCTATTGCGATGCCCGCAACGATACCGCTGCCTTCGAGCCCGCTGACGCACAAACATGGCTGAAGCGCAGCGGCGTGGATCTGTACATCGGGGGCATTGAACATGCGATTTTGCACTTGCTGTACTCGCGCTTTGTGACCAAATTCATGTTTGATCAGGGGCTTTTAGCTACTGACGAGCCTTTTGCTCAACTGTTGGCTCAGGGTATGGTGCTGGGGCGGACTCACAAGTCGCCAGGTTCGCTTCGTCCTTTAGCACCGAGTGAATATGAAGAAGCAGCGGTAAATGGTCATAAGGTCGTGGTGGAGAAGAAGACTGGACTTCCTGCAGTGACTCTGTGGGAGAAGATGTCCAAATCCAAGCACAACGGTGTCGATCCAGAGCAGATCCGTGCACGTCACGGTGCCGATGTCACGCGCCTTGCTGTGTTGTTCAAGGCACCACCCGCTCATGAGCTGGAGTGGGACGAAGCTGACCTTGCCGGTCAATCGCGCTGGATGGCACGTATCTGGTCACTAGTGGATGGTATGGTAGCCTGCCGTAGTTCGAATGCTACGTGTGCTGTGGATGGGGACGAGGAGCAGAAGCTGCGCCACGAACTGCACGGAACGATTAAGCGCGTGACGGAGGCGCTGAGTGACTTTCAGTCGTTTAACGTTGCTATCGCAGAGCTGATGAAGCTTTCCAACTTGCTTGGCGATCGCCGCACACAGCTTCAGGGCTCTGCAGCTTACGAAGAGGCTATACGCGCACTAGTGCAGATGTTGGCACCACTGGCTCCCCACACTGCTGCTGAGATGTTTCAGACTCTGGAGGACGGCCTCGACACGGCTGATGTGCATGCTTGCTCGTGGCCAGCATATGATCCCATGCTACTAGACCGTGCTCAGGTGAAGGTAGCATTGCAAGTGCAAGGCAAAGTGCGCGACACAATCGACGTGGATCTTGCCCTGCTGGAGGCGAGGGACTCGGACGCGGTGTTGGCGTTAGCACTGGCCTCTCCTGCTGTGCATCGCCATGTGAAAGGCCGAGACGTGCGTAAGGTGGTTTTGGTTCCTCCGAAGAAGCAAGGCGCCCACGGGCTACTGAACATTGTGGTGAAGTAGGTGCGATAATGTCCACGAATAGACTGTTGTTGAGCTTGACTCATGTTCCAATGGACAGCACAGTGCCTCACTTGCCTCGACACCCACGATGCACGAAACGAGTATGGTGCTTCCGTAGACCTCCCAAGTGCGACGTTGATCGAAGGACGACCGACAACGTCCTTTGCTCTGCAACTGGTAAGCCTAACTTTTGAGATGACGCCACAACTGCGCTGCAAGTACACTATCCTGAAATGCCTTACCGCCTTGACACGGCTGGAGGAGTAGATATGTTTTTTAGTGCTGCCTTGCCACGCTGGTTCCGACAAAGCCTAGTACTCAAGGCCAACTTGCTGATGTGTGCACCTTTCGTAGCGACCCAGACGAAAGGCTGAGATCCTTTCGAGCAGTACGATCCAAACATCGTTTCGTTAGATGGCTGGTAGCATGACCACCAAAGCAAATCAAATTCTGCTCGTTACACAACCTTCTGCGGACGAGTTCACTCAGCTCTGAAGCTCGACCTTCGGAATGTGTGGTTCTTTCATACCGTGACCTGGAAGAAGACGTTGGGCACAGCAAATCTTTTGTTGCATAGCAGAACAAGCGCAGTGATGTTAAAGCTGACAAAAGTCGAATTACATGTGGAATGCGGTACCTTCCCTTGTTAGGTTATGAAGTATCATCGAGACGTCTCTCGTGCGCTGTTGTCGCATCGCATGTTGGCCTGCGGTTGTTGTTACGTCAGTTCTGTTTGTGGGGCAGTCGTGCATCTTGATCCGGTCTGAAAGTTGTAGTTGCGATTGGGTCGAGACTTTCGCATATGTATCAGAAGAAGTACTGGAGAGGAAGACCAAGAAGAAAATGCGTGTCACTAAACCTTCGACAGTAGCGTTACTGCATCATTGCTTCTCTAACGGTAGCTCGTCCCAGGCAGACAGACCCTCACAACTCCGCCCAGTATCGACTTTTCCCTCAGACATGACAAAGAGGTGTCTAGATACAAAGAACGCACTACCCACTCCGCTTCAAATTGCTCTCTGGGTCAGTCCATCGTCCATGTTGAAAGCTACTTTCGTGCCAGGGTAGACATGCAATGGCATTCCTGATACCAACAGTGTCTTTGACGTCAGAATGGAGACCTGCAGCAGATCCAGGAGTGTTTGAAGGAAAGCGGTCAGGAGGCACTCGAGACGCGAGATGCTCGTGGCAACCGGGCTTTGCACTTGGCGTTGAAGTTTGCCCATAAAAACGCTACAGCAATTGTGATGGCTCTACTGGTACGAGTCGCTGAGGATCTTGGAGGCATGAAACGGTGCGAATGATGACAAATGGTGATGTGTCGGCTAGGACGCGGGGGCACGTGTACGTTCTCGAGATACCGAAGGCTGGAAGGCCATTCATCACGCCGTGCTGACCGAGAACGAAGAGATCATACGAATCCTTGCTCGTCGAGGTAAGCTTTGATGCCGTGCTGAGCGAAATGATAGCTCACTACACATGCTTGTGTGATTGCATATGAAGAGAAAGAGCAAGCACCTGCGCTGTTGCAGAAGAAGATTGACGGCATTTGTCCGCGCCTTGCTGACGTCCCAGATTTTTATAGCGAGATGCTTGTCGATGTCTCCACCTGGGTACCCGGTGTCTCTCGCTGGCTGCCATCGGACACAGTAAAGATCTGGAAGGCCGCTCAGGACATTCGCTTTGACGTTACGCTAGTAGGTTTCGAAAACGGCAAGTGGGATCGAGGAAACCTATCGTTTTTGCTCTTGGGCTCTCAACGAAAGTTCATTTGCTTGGACAACCAGGCCAAAACGTGTACCAATCTGCTCGACCTTGACACGACGTTGACGAAGACGGAACTGGATCAGATGGTGCACTTCTTGATGACCACGTCGATTGTCACGACTGACCTCGATGCGTCCAAGGTTGTGTTCGAAAGGAGGTGCGCGTGGTTCTCCTCCGAGCCTTTGCTGCAGGATATCGGATGCTGGAAAGACACCCGCGTTGTTGACATGATCGGCGTCGAGGCGTCCCTGCGATACCGCAAGCCCCATAACCCATCGCATCCACCTCCTACGACTGCGAACGAGCATGTACGTGAGCTTCAATGACAACGCCCAATATCTACTGACAACGCCCAGTACTTGATGATAACTGATCGTTTGTGCTTCGGATCTTTCTCTAGCCTGCTGCTTCCGACGCCGTTTCGCTGTTGGCAGAAGCGGAGTCAAGTATTGACCACTACACTGAGGTAGTGGTCGATCCGAATTCTAAGCACGTCGTCTCTGTCAATCTGTCGAAGAACGACGAGCTGACGTGGAAATTCACGACGGAAAAGCGCGATATCCACTTTGGCGTCCGTTTTCGTGGAACAGAGGATGGCGAAAGGTGGGAACAAGTTGTGCCTCTGCACCGCGTTCAAGCTCAGGCAAACAAAGAGACCGGTTCATTCCAGGCCCCTCATGTAGGCACGGTTGTGTTGACGTGGGACAACTCACACTCGATCATCCGGTACGATTCGTCACTTTGGTTCATTGGCCATGACGGTCTCAATAGCTCACATCGGGACGCAGGTCGAAGCGACTGCGCTTTGCCATTACATCAGCACGGGAAAAGGGAGAGGGTCTCGCGGAGAGCGAGGGCTGGGATGCGCGAAACAGAGCCAAAGAAGAAGAAGTAGCATTCAAGGACTGGTTTGGGGTGTCAATTGAGGACTTGCCTGACTCGCTTCGTGCTCTGCGCCCACATCGCTGCGTCTTGGCGTATACCCAGCCTCCTTGTCGCAAGATTACCAAATCGTTTCCCGCAACTGTTTACATGAGCGACCAGTTTCCACTCAGCGTGAGTTTGCGCGCGTCTCTCGGTCATATTTTGCGTTGCGCCGGTGGTTGATGACACGCTCGCGAGCTTGTGTGACTAGGTATCGGAGTTTCTCCCTGTGATCGAGGTGCTCTCGAGAACGACGAGCGCTTTTGAGAGTGTGCAAGCGTTTTTCTCGGCGGTACGGAAACGAATGGTGTCCATTGGGATCTCGATGCTCACAAGCAGTCGCACTATCACTGATGCTCATTCCTCTAGGCGCTCGTCGACGGGTTCCCCGTTCAGTTTTGTTTTCCGCTGGTCCCGTCAGTGTCGGCGACATTCCGCTTCGACCGCATGGAGCTGCAAACTCCAGATTCCCACAAGTTTGTCGTTCCCAACTGCTACACAATGCGTGGCGAAGACATACTCTCTCCGCGCACGCACCAGGTGGTGCTGCAGCGTATGACGGCTACCTGAAGTGGACGTCTCCAAACTAAGTACACGTAGCAACGCAGATAACGTACTGAACGAGTATTTGCATAAGCTTGATATTGGCCAGCAGGTTCAGCACCCAACGGCAGAACGTCACGATCAAGAAAGAGTACAGGAACTTCGTTCCACGAGCGTAGATCGGCGCGTCTCCCGTGCACAAGTAGCAGACGGCGATCGCCACGTTATGCAGGGCAGGAATCGAGCCAAAAACGGGTACAGCACCGAGTCGTAGAAAAACATCTTGCGCGGGAACGCTAGAGATGGCTTCGGGTCCGGGGCAGGCACGCGCGGCGGACGCCAGTCCGGGTCGACTTCGCGCTCATTTTGCATCAGCAGAATCTGCACACCACCCTTTGCCCAATGCTTTTTCTAGTCCATAGTAGGAGCCACTGTCTCAGGAATAGCACCTCCGCACAATCGAATACGGTCCTTGGCATCGCCCTCGAAATCCTTGCGGAAGTACACCGAGTCCCAACCAGAAGTGTGCACCACGTTCCCCGTAAACGCATCTTCAGACGGAGTACCGTACTGAATGCCACCAATCGAGTCGAAGGCTTGGCGACAGAACACAGCATTCGAGCCGGCAAAAGCATCCGAGTCGAAACCATCGCGACCACGCTGCACACAGCGCCAACGAGAATGGTATTCCTGTGCCCGCACGGATCATCCGTGATCGTCAACTGGGGCGTCTACTCAACGTACTGAGGAGACTGCAGGCGTCTGCACGTACAACACCTGAGTCTCCGGGCCTTGCACGCCAGAGTCCATCCAACGGATACTGCGGCCACTGTCCTGAATGCTCGCATTGCCTCTTTCGCGTGCTTCGGGTTTACAAACGCCGTTGTGCTGATGTACGTGCGATGACCCACTTGCTGCCACCGCTCCGGCGCTTGATGCTGGCTGTTCGTCGTGTCTGACAACACCTAAGCCTGCAATACGCGCACGTCCGGGTCCGCGTCTTCCGACGGCATCGCGTCGCCACATTCCGTGCCAAACGCAGTGCTACTGGGCACCGTCGCAACGCAGTTCTCGCCCACGAGTCGCACGCTCTCCGTGAGCGTCTGGTCCGGCAGCGTCGCGCCGGTCGGCATCGGCACCTCCAGCAGCTGCTCTTCCATCGGTCCTAGCTACGCGTGGCCGACACCACAAGAGGCCTCTGCGCGTCGAGAGCTGGTGGATGCCCCCAATGCCGACGACGGCGGAGGCCCACACGACACACATGAACGTCTACGAGCCCGCGTCCATTCGCCGGAGCGCCGCCGAGTCGCCGCCGGAAAGGGCCGAGAGGACGACGTACTGCATGCGGTGAGTGGGTCTCGGGCAGTCCGCAGTGGAGCGCGAGAGACCCGACGAGGAGCGCCCGCGCCGCCGCTTCTGCGAGGGCGACCGCGCGCTCGTTCGCGTCGGTCGACAGCGTGAAAATGCGCGCGAACGAACGCAGCGACACATCCCGTCTTGTGATTCGACGAAAAGAAACACAGAAACGCACCAATCACAACGCGTCGGAAACGCAAGGACACTTCGTACCAATGTATGTATGTCCGCCGTCTTTGTTCAGGCGGATGTATCGTCGCCCTTGCAACATAAAAAGAGTCGATCGTCCGCACTGCGAAGAAACACTTGTGCGACTTCAAGGCTTTGGTCGATTATTCCCACTCGACCAAAGGGCTCAAATTGCACGTCGCCCCGTTTTGGTTTGGGACACTGCATGCTGTTAGGTTCTTCGCTACACGCAGGCGGCGCTCCGCCGCGCTAGCTTCAGCATCCTTGAACTTTTCTCGATCGGGTTCGTCTGCTTGAACTTGGCCTTAGAGTAGTTGGAGCTGCTGCAATGCTGCGAACTCTGGTAGACACTAACGCAACCTGTTCTCATCGCTCAACAACAAAGCGACGAGCGCACCAATGCTCGTTCGCAGGTCGCTGGACTGATGCTCGAAAGATGAAATGCCACACCCGATCTCGAACAGCTTCACAGCGGTCGGTTCGCAGAACAACTTGCAGCATGTAAAACAGGTCATCAACGGCGTCACACCCGAATTTTATACACACGCCACTACGGAAACTGCTTTGTGCTTCGCACATAGCTCCATGCATCAAACGCAGCGCAGACATCGCCATTGTCCTTTGCAACAGCCCCCAGCCACAGCAAACTCGTGTGGCAATCGCAGCCTGGACAATTGGCCAGCAGGTATTACGTAATTGTCCTCCTGTATGCTATCCAACGTCTGTGGTTCCTCCATGAGGACCGATGCTATCGACCGTGTCACTATCTTCATCCTAGTCACCTTCATCGTCGTCATCTTCGTCTCCATCTGCTTCTACGTCCGATCTTCCCGCAATCGCTGGCCACTTGTTAGTGGGACTGTCTGCGCCACCTCGTCGAAACTTGCACTCCAAAGCGTCTGGTCGCATCTGAGCTGCCTCATTCGTCCTGCACCTTGCACCAACTTGTCCTTCGTGAGTTTTGGTGCAAATGCTATGACAGCGGATGCGTCTCGTAGAAGCTTCATGTCTGACCCTCACGAGCGTGCTTCGTCAAAACTGACACACGTCTCCTTCTCCAGCATCGAAGACTTTTCCTGGAGCAACGTTATCCTCCAAACCTCCTCTACGATAATCCGGTAGTTTTGCTCTTCGGCCACCAAAGTACATCGCGTCAGCAACTACAAAGCCGGGCTGCTTGAGAACACAATCCCTGCTCTTTGTCACACCCGCTAAAAGCGCATCTGTATCGATCAGACGCTGTGCGTTCTTGCCCATGGCGAACAGAACCATATTCTGCCATGGTGTTGATCCGCGGTTCGGACCTAGAGCAATCACCTCCTAGCTTTGCATCACTTGCAGGATCTTTTCATCACTTTTCGTCATCGAAGAGGAAGGCAGAATCTACGATATGGAGGGATTGCAGTTTCCGAGCGCGGCGGTCAAGAATCCTGGCGCATAACATGGAAATGAACGTGGGATGCAGGAAGATCATCCTGTCGGTGTTCTACCCGCTTTCGATTCCTCAAATTAATTGTGGTGTTGAGAGCTGTCTTGAGCTTATTGCTTTGCATTTGTTTCGATCGTGTCGTGGATAGAAAATACAATGGCAATCGTATCAATGCGCCTCAATATTCAGCATCCGATGGCGAGAGTGCTTGCTATCTTTGTCGCGAACGAGCGTCGTACAAGGATTGTTGCTAAATGAGCTAGTAGACTCAAAGTGTCATAAACGACATCGCCGGGATGTTGCTGTCGGTCTCAAATCGCGATGTGTGCACTACTTCCTATGCTCGGTGATAGCTCGTACTCCCTCTTTTGACTACCTTCGTGCATCTGTCCTTGATCAAGCAGTGCGTCGTGGTCTTGTCATCACTCGCGATCTGCGTTATATACTTTCTAGTAGCGACGCTTGTAGATCAATGCATTCTTCACATCTACTTCGTACGGTCTCTAAAGCCCTCGAAAGGACTCCATCTCTTCTTGACTCCGCAATTGACAAACTGACACTACCGTATAACAACTTTGCTGCAGTCGCGTCTCCTTCTACCGCACCATGTGAACGTCTATCTTCTGGCAGGTACTGCATTGGGATGCCATATCACTCATCAGGTCACATTTACTTACGATCACTTCTTCACTTTACGTACACGCTCCATTGAGTACGTACGTACTCGATATCTCAACTACCTCACATTATTCGCAATCTCACACGATGTAGGCCTCCAAACTATACCCAGAGGTTGGAAGAGCTTGCCAGCTCTTGCTGAGAATGAATTCACTCTCATTCTTTCGCTCTCATTCATTCTATCAGCTTATCATCAAGATCGAGGCCTTCTCGCGTCTCAGCGTCATTTTGGAACGAATCAAAATGGACGCCAGATCGGATGACTGCCGGGCGACTATGTCGATCTTTTATCGACAAAGCTGTCGGTATAGTGGAGACTTACAGCAATCCACGTCTTTCTTTATCAGGCCGAAACGATGAGCACACTACTCGCCTTTCACTAGGTGTACCTCCATTGCTCGTACACATGGTGCTTGTGGAAATTCTGGATCCATGAATCAGCTTCGTTTGTCATGTGGCTGAATACCGAGTCTCTTCTATCTGGTACCCTACAACATTGTCTATCGCCAACCTTTGCAGACTTCGCCTATGCACATGTCGTAGCGAGCAAAATCCAAGCACCCGGATATCTACTTGTTCTTAGCCGCTTGCGCCTTTTCGTGCTCGTTCATCAGCTTCTCCTGCATGTCACGCCCGACAATGCCATGTGTCTTGTGTACTCCATCGCGAACTCGCCCTTGCCCCGAGTGGATGACCGCAAATCCGTCGAGAAACCAAACATGTTTTGCAGTGGTACGTTGCACTTAATGACCGTGTGCCTGTCATCGGCATCGCTGCTGTTAATGAGACCGCGGCAACGGTTCACCTCGGCAATGGCCGTACCTTGGAACTCGTTGGGCAATTCCACCTCCACCGCCATGACAGGCTCGAGGATGCACGGGTTGGCCTTCATAAACGCTTGGCGAATAGATAGCACCGTAGCCGTGCGGAAAGCAAGCTCGCTGGAATCTACCGAGTGTGACTGACCGTCATTGACCACCACACGCATGCGCTGCACCGGGTGACCAATGAGCCACCCTTTCTGGATTGCGTCGTTGACACCCTTCGAGCAAGCTGCGATGTACTCGGGTGGACCCGCGTGCCAATAATTGCGTTTTCGAAGACGACGCCCGAGCTATTTCCCTCGTCACTAAGCTTTTCGACCTCTTCGTCCGTAAGTGGCTCAATGCATCCTACCACACGCGCGTATTGACCCAAACACCCCGCCAGTTTGCTTCTTATGGAAGTAGTCGAACTCGCTGCGCTGGCGAATCGTCTCGCGGTAGTTCACTTGCGGCGCGCCAGTCTCCACGTCCACGCTGTATGCACGCTTCATACGCTCCACGTAGATCTGCAGATGAAGCTCGCCCATACCGCTTCTGACTGTCTCCTTGCTGTCATCATCTACAAAAGCGCGAACGTTGAGTCTTCTTTCGGAAAACGGTTGAGTGCCCTGGAGAAGTTGCCGATCTGCTGCTTATTCTTGGCACGCTATTTTTGCGTAGTCAGAGTCGGTCAACGTTCGAGCATCGTACATCCCTCAGCTTTCCTTTTGCTGCAAAGCCGTCAGAGAGGTTGAGAGTATAGGACGTGCGGGGAAGCTGGTGGACCCCCGCACGTCTCCACGAACTTAATCTCGAGTACAACGACGTTACACGTACCCTACTTTGATCGTGCAAAGGAGGAGTGACATGCTCAGACTACTGGTGTCACCATATAGTTCCGTGGCCTCTCGTATGTATACTGCCCTCGCAAAAAAGGTGTTCAGGTGAACGTTTATCGCCTCCATGCAGTAGTAGCAGGTTCGACACAACGTCTCGAACTGTCGACTGTCGGTAAGATTGATACGCAGCACGTTGCACAGAGCCATTCGGTCATTGCCATTCAAGCCTTGCTCGACACTAGCAAACCATCGATTGTATCGATGTTCCTGCGTCGAGGTGTCCAAGCGCCACAGCATCTGCAAAGTACACAGGACCTCCTCCTTCGTCGAATTAGCCTAGTGATATACGAGCAGAGTGAACACAATGCAAACATCAGGATCGCTGAACTCCGACCGCTCTGACGAAACATCTGCAGCACGAAACGGAATGGCAATCTTCTTCTGTCGGGTGCCAGGATGTGGACGCCCAACATCAACTCGATAGCGTTCTCAAGATAATGTTCGCGCACGCCACACGCTAGCAGCCCCCGCATTACAAGCAGCTATCGCAAGTAACGTGAGAACCTTTGCACGCACGTACTCGACAAGAGTATCTTCCAAACGTCGTAGCATGGCACTTAAACGTCATACCAAGGCCCTTGTATCCATTCCACTTTCAAGCCGCCACAACCACCACCACCACCACCACCAACAACAACAACAACCACCACCACCACCAACAACAACAGCAACTACAACTACTACTACATCAACCAACAACAACAACAACTACTTCTACAACAACAACATCAACAACAACAACAACAACTACCACAACAACAACAACAACAACAACAACAACAACAACAACAACAACAACAACAACAACAACAACAACTACTACTACTTCTTCTAATACCACTACTTCTACAACACGAACAAAACTAACAACAACACCAACAACAACAACACCAACAACACCAATAACAACACCAACAATACCAACAACAACACCAACAATACCAACAACAACACCAACAACAACTAAACGAACAACAACAATACCAACAACACCACCACCACCACCACCACCAACACCAACAGCAAAAACAACACCAACAACACCAATAACACCAACAACACCAATAACAACAACAACAACCACCACCACCACCACGACCAACAATAGCAACTACAACTACTACTACATCAACCAACAACAATAACAACTACTTCTACTACTACTACTACTACTACTACTACTACTACTACTACTACTACTACTACTACTACTACTACTACTACTACTACTACTACTACTGCTACTACTACTACTACTACTACTACTACTACTACTACTACTACTACTACTACTACTACTACTACTACTACTACTACTACTACTACTACTACTACTACTACTACTACTACTACTACTACTACTACTACTACTACAATACTACAACAACAACAACAACAACAACAACAACAACAACAACAACAACAACAATACCAACAACAACAACAACAACAACAGTGCAGTCACCCGTCTTAATTACCAGATAGAAACTGCCTGATATTGGCACATTACGACAAGATAACCGCACCATTGTCGTCGGCATCGATGATAGCGCAAAGACTGACACCTCCACCGTCCGTCGTGCTTGTGTCCTCCTTCGAACATACACTGACAGCTCATAGGCAATGGACCACCGACCCATTACTTTCCAGTAAGGCCGATGAGTTATAACGCATACGATGCTGCCATGCCAGTAAGCACAAAGCCTGGAAACATGTACGTCTTCACAAACACCAGCAGCAGTGCTTCGAGCTTCTACATGGCAACTTTGTCGGCCTATCGAAATTGCATACTGACGTCAGCCACCTCGTAGATGTGACAGTGTTTCCAGTGAGCTCGAAGCCATACAGGATAGCGGTAGCAGCATTGCGACGACGCCTCCTTGGGGCAGAACGCCGAAGAGAGCGTTAGTGCGAAGGTAAACACGCTAGTCATAGCATCATGTCAAGCTTGTGCTTATCAAGCAGCGAAACATACTCAATTGCCGTTCGACGCAACGAAATGTGCAGAGGAGCGATAGCTGGCAGCATGAATCTTTCTGTCGAGCCGTCCAGAACTGCCTCTAATCACCACACATCAGCATTCTCTTACCTTAAACACCAATAAAACCCACTTACACGGGTCAACCCATCACATCTTTTGGTCTCGTCGACTCCGTCGTCTCATTTACATCAAACAATGCCTTGTCGCAATTGCCGCCACCCGCGCGCCCGTTTTTTGCGCCATTTTACTCCATTTTCAACTTGGCTCACCGCCGCGTCTCAGGCCACTTCTCTTACAGTTGAAGTGATCCATTTTCCATATCCACTTCGCTTAACGTTAATGAATGAATTGTTTTCCATGACCACTCCGCCGCCGCCCCCCATGCTTCTTTGTCATTTTCCATTCTGCTCTCCCATTCGCAATGAACACCACGGAAACGTTCATCCAAAGCACATGCAAAGCAATCTTGCATTCGTGCAGCGAGCTCCAACGCGCGAACGACGCGCTACAAGAGCAAGTCATTGCGCTGACGAGCCTCAGTGCGCTGCGAGCGGACATGGCAAGGGTGGCAGAAAACGAGCGAGTCGAAGGTATCGAGTCGCGGCGCAAGATGGAGAGTAAAGTGCTGGCGCTCCGGAAACGCGCCGAAAAGGCTGAGGCCACAAGTGCAATACTGGAGAAGCAGCTGCTGAAGGCCACGCAAGGCCAGCTCAAGGTCCAGCGCGAGTCCGAATTGCAGCTAGTGCTGCAGCAGAAGGACTTCCAAGACAGCAGTCCGGAAGCGACGGGCGAGAACAAGGCACGTATGCAGCAGAAGACACGTGTGAAGGCAGTCGCAGCGGCAACCACGACAAGCACGACGCCTCGCGAGAAAACCAGAACCGGCCAAGATAAATGCGCTCGCGTGCTTGCAAGTGCCAAGGACGTCGCTGCCAGTGTGGGCGCTGGACCTACTACTGGTTCCCGTGCGCGTGTTCGTCCAGCGACTACTGCTCGAGCGCGTGTTGGTGTGACTGCAAGCACAGTATCCACTCGTGCGCGTGTGGAATCCACTGCTGCTGCCCGTGCGATCATTGCTGCGACTGCCGGTACTGGTGCTTCAAGGATTCCGTCAGCAAAAAAACAGACGCGCGTGAAGACTGGAGGAAGACGCATCGCGCTGGGCAACGGGTGTTAAGCCACACACACGTTGCCAGAAGAGGGCAACGGAGCTTCCGGGATTGGCGCTCCAGAGACCCATTGCTCTCTGTTGCGTCTCCCGGAGCCCATCGCTCACCGAAGGCTCCGGAACGTGGTGCAGTCAAGGCATGGCAGCAGGCTTTGTTCGACAACGCGTTGCGATCCGCTTTTCTTCGGGGCTCATTACCCCCGTTGGAGCTGTGGAACGTGGTGTGTTTTTGGACGAAGTTGAGCGTGGCATGCATTCGCAGTGACTGATGAAGACTCATTACTCTTCGTCATCATTGCGATTGCTTGCCACGCGTGCTGTTGGTGTGCTTGACTCCTACGGTTTAGAGCGTATAGGTGTCGATAGCCCCATGAAAGACAAAAGAAAACGTAGTTCTTATTGAAGTGAGTAACAAAACTAAGTGTATTATTACGATTGCAGTTGGCTTGTTAACGTTGGTCTTCTCTTGAGCAAAAGTAGTTCCTCCGTGCTCGTCGATTGCCGTACAGTGTAGTAGTCCATGCTCGAAGAAACAAGAAAATAAGCGCTACGCTGCGGCATTCGTACCCCTTGCAAAGCGTCATAGCAAGGCATGTGTTAGAAGATATGCTTTCTGACAGGTCATCGAAGTTCCCGTGTTCAACTGCAAGACCCGTTACAGGTACGTCCCGATCTCACCTGATTGGCTAATAAGCTGACAGGTAGGACGAAGATGTGACTGGTGGATATATGGGTCGAGAGAAGAGGGTCGTCATTTCGGACTATCAGGAGGAGTTGATGAGTGAGACAGCGATATCCGGACGACATTGTTTACAGCCAGAACATGTTGATGGGCATGCTAAACGTGTACCACGTGTAACTTGATCGGACCAAATGCAAAAGGTATGGTTAACAACCGACTGTAATTTACTCTCAAAATATATATTACTTTCACTTCCTACATCCTCAGTACAAGTGCGACCACAACACGTAACGATTCACTGCACGTCCGTCAGACCAAAGACGGGCGAGCAGAGGTGGCCAACGTCGCGTATGCTCCAGTACACATACCATTTGGCGCCATTACCACGCGCAGACAAGACACAAGTGCACGAGAGGATGGACAGCAGTGCCCACATCGCAAGGATCGACAACTCGGCATTGACGGCAAACTGTAATGACACCTCAAGGCCGTGGCGACACACTGTAGCAGCACGACGTACAGATACTTGGCGACTCCGACAACGCTGAACACGCAGGAGACCCTCTTGGCAGCCGATGCTAACTATAAAGATGGAAAAAAGAGCTCGTCACACCATTTCACTGACGTGCCATCGATCGCATGGTAGCAATAAGCCTTCCTACGCGCTTCCTGACATGCGCATCGGACACCACTATGAGATGACCCAACAAGCCACGTCAACCGACTCTGGCAACAGCAATTGGATGTGTGCTGATGTCAAGTCACTAGAGGGAAAGCGTCAACGACAGCGCACACTTGCGAGCGCGTCTCCGGCTCGCCAGATAGACCACACCACCGCTTCTCGTCACCTGCGCTCGGCATGCATCGCATCCTGTGTCTCCTTCTGCTCCTCGTCGACCAAACACCATCCGCGTCTTTGCGACACAATCCGGTGCGTCCGATTCGTCGCCGCCGCCGGGTCATTCGTGCCTGTGACGATGCCTTGGGCCACTTGGAGATTGCCTGCGTAGTAGACTTGCCATAGCTGCACGAAGACCACACTGTAGACCACCAGAAAAAGAGCCAAACGCGTTCGCCGTAAAGGTGGCAGCAGTATGGTCCCAGCCGCTGGACTCGGGAACACGCTTCTTGACCATGGGGTATAACTGGCGCGTGACGAAAATGTCACAGAACACGGCACACACGTAGTTCCATGAATTCGCCGCGATCACGTACTCAACGAAACGAATGAGCGCCACGAGCTGACTGAACAGCAGCGTGAAGGAGAAAAGCACGTCCGTGATATCTATCCACGACGTCTTCTGACCAGCACCCGTGTTTGCCCTTGACTTGTCCTTCCCCGCCACGCGCGCCTGGAGGGCCTCAAAATTGTCATCATCGTAATGAACGACAACGAAAGCCATGCCAGCTGCATACGCCACACGACGTTGTTGACGACTACGCGGTTGACCGGCAGGTTTAGCACCCAACGGCAGAACGTCACGAGCAAGAAAGTGTACAAGATCTTCGTTCCACGAGCGTAGATCGGTGCGTCACACGTCCAGAAGTAGCAGACGGCGATTGCCACGTTATGCAGGGCAGTAATCGAACAAAAACGGGTACAGCACCGAGTCGTAGAAAAACATCTTGCGCGGGAACGCTAGAGATGGCTTCGGGTCCGGGGCAGGCACGCGCGGCGGACGCCAGTCCGGGTCGACTTCGCGCTCATTTTGCATCAGCAGAATCTGCACACTACCCTTTGCCCAATGCTTCTTCTGGACCATAGCAGGAGCCACTGTCTCAGGAATAGCACCTCCGCACAATCGAATACGGTCCTTGGCATCGCCCTCGAAATCCTTGCGGAAGTACACCGAGTCCCAACCAGAAGTGTGCACCACGTTCCCCGTAAACGCATCTTCAGACGGAGTACCGTACTGAATGCCACCAATCGAGTCGAAGGCTTGGCGACAGAACACAGCATTCGAGCCGGCAAGAGCACCCGAGTCGAAACCATCGCGACCACGCTGCACACAGCGCCAACGAGAATGGTATTCCTGTGCCCGCACGGATCATCCGTGATTGTCAACTGAGGCGTGTCCTCAACGTACTGAGGAGTCTGCAGGAGTCTGCACGTACGACACGTGGGTCCAAGAAATATCGTCGCTGCATTGAAGTCCTCCCCCGTCGACGGCTTCGCCTTTCGAGAAGATGAATGACAGCCCCGCAAGTAAAACCTTCGGATGCGGCTTCATGTCGTTATCCATAATCAGCATATATGTGCCGTCAGCATCTTCGTTGAACAAGCAATTGTTCATGTTGCCAGCCTTTGAGTGGGACGTATCGGGCGTCATTCGTCTAATGAAAATCACACGTAGGATGTCGCGCTCACGGTAGTCGAAGTCGTCCGAAAGCGAGCCGATCGCACAATCACGACGCTGCACACCCTTGCCACCCTATTTGCGGAGCTCACGGACATAGCTGTGCCGGCGACGCCACGTCTTCAGGCTTTGGTCGTCTTGATCAGGCCCACCACACGCTCGTGCATGAGTCACGCAAGGTCGCCACGCAAATCACCACAAATCGAACCACATTGGAGTTCATCGTCACCTTCAAGTGGTCGATCGCAACCCACACAGTCTTATAGTAACAAACATCCAGCACAACGATGTCGAGAAGCTCGGGCGCATACTGCAGCGAAAGATAGTTCTTTAGTGTCTGCATCGAATACGTGACCGATTCCACGTAGTGACACAACAAGATGTCGACCATCGGCCACTGTTCCCCGGGAGTGGGCAGCTCGAAGTCGTCCATGTACCGCGCACCACGACAAATCGAACGCCACATACTGAAGTTGAACAGCAGCGCCACAACGAAACTGAGAAACTCGCTGAAAATCATCATGGCGTACATGACCCACGACATAAACGGCACGTTCCCGATACAGTATCCATCGCCCGCGTCTGCGTCAACGTTGACCGTCGAGCTGAAACACCCGTCCGTCTCACTAGCTGGCAACGTGTGTGTTACACGATAGCGTCGGCCGCGCGTGGTCCCAAGGTACTGCTGCGCGTACACCGTCGTCAAGTAGTACAGCCAGATAACACCCGCAGCCGCCGTGCCAAAGTGAAACACGTGGAACAGGCACTGCCCGATACTCGTACTTGCGGGTGGATATACGGTGTCTAGTGGCGCGACTCCACCCGCCACGCGCGACTTGTTGTCTCCAGGAAGTATCCAACCCCAACCGCCGGACAAGGGGGACAACGATGCTGCGGGTGTCGCACGAAGGTGTCGACGTCGAGCTCCCCTCGAACGTGGCTACCATCGAGTCCGACGTGACGGCGGGGACGCTCACGATCCACTGCTGCAACTCCACGGGTGACGTCGTGTTGCGCCAACGTACGTACCGTCTGTGAGGATCGTGTGCGGGTGGGTGTGTACCGGTCGCGCGCGGGACCGACTCGACCGCTTCTGTCGTTTTCGTCCACTCATGGGTACATGTGTGTTTGTGTGTGACATGTGACAGGCCCCGCAGCTTCAAGTCGCGCATAGCCGCCGCCGCAGCAGACAGGCGCTTGTTCACAGCAGCAAATGAGACGACCGAACGACGCGAGCGGCCTGGGGGATTACGATCGCGTGTCTCAAGCGGATGGTAAACGGCTGCGGCCAAGTTTTCGCAATGAAGCAGAGCAGACGGTACTGTTGGCTCAATTGAATGGACCGTCGAAGGAGCAAACCGCGCCGGCAGACGATGTTTTGGTGCTACTGGAGAGAGCTGAAGAATGGACCAGAAGAAGGATTGGAGGCAGCTGGGGGCACGACCGGTAGTGATGCGTGGCGACGGAGAAGACGACGGAGAAGAAGCAGACACAAAGGTCACTGACGGACAGTGTGGTGGATCGCTTGTCGGCGTCACGTGATCTGAAGCAGTCGAGCGCTCGCAAAGCAGCACTAGCTTCCAGCACAGATCGACACAAAAAAACGCGAGGTGCTATTTGAACCTTCGCCGATCAAATGCGTCGAGGAACGGGTCAGAGGCGTGTCAATGTCAAAGGCAGCAACAGGTCTGATGGACCGTGTATTTGCACGTGTTTGTTTGTTTGTTTGTTGTGAGGTAACGGAGAACGCAATGCAAGTTAATTGTGACTACTTGTGGCTGAGGACACAGCGTAGGAGACGATCGAGTCGACAGGAAACGCTCCGACTGAGCGCTGGGGCCATGCTGCTACCAAGATCTTGAACGACCGCGTGATGGTTCACGGTGGAACCGATGACGTAGAGCGAACGATAGGGGACTTGCACGTGTTTGACATGCAAACACACCGCTAGACGACTCCAATCAACTGCGAACCGATCCCGCGAACGTGGCACGACGCTGTGTACCTGCCTCTCAAGAATTTGGTGCTGATATTTGGATGCGAGCGCACGGAAAGCGATGGTGGTGAGCTTGCCGTTCTTTCCGACGTTATGGTACTGGACACCGAGTGCTTTTTGTGGTTTCCACCGGCCATTCGTGGGCCACCCCCGTCGGCAAGAAGCAATCATATTTGCACTGCTATGGAACGAGGTCGTGGTGTTTGGTGGTAGAACAGAACGAAACAGCCGGAGAACGGTACACATTCTGGACACTGGTGAGCAAGAATTGACGGCCAGCGTGTGAAAAGCGACAAGTGTGCTAACGTTTCTGCTGCGATCGCTCTTGTTGCTGTTGCTGTTGTTTTTGTTGTCGTTGTTGTTGTTACTGATGTAGATGACAGGAACTGGAAGACGGTACAAGCTGAAGGAAAAGCTCCCAGCGCTCGCACATACGATAGTGCTATCGCTGTCGGCGACAAGATTGTTTACTTTGGAGGCAATAGCTTTTCCAACAGCTTTAACGTGGTGTACGTGTTTCAAAAGGAAGTAGAAGAGACGTCATGTGATCGAGTGTGGACTAGGTTCAGCGCCTATGGTCGGTACGCCCTCACGAGAAGCGCATAGATCACTCGACGACGCTTTTGGATGGCGGCTGCATTTTCATCTTTGGCGGTTGGGATCCACAGCGGGACGATGCAAGTGCATTAACAAGTGTGATCAGCGATTCTTTCGTTACTAAGGCCGCATGGATAGCGGGCACTAAGCGTAGATGGAGGCAGATCACAATTATTATCTGGGTGACAAGAAAAAGCTAGATGGTCCTTTTGATTCAGCAATATAAGCCAGCGGTTTGCCGTTGTCGATATTTTGTTCTAAAGAATGGAAATAATTTTACAGAGCTATTTGCCTGGCGTATGAGATGCCTTCTCGATATGATCTCTCCAATCACCTCTTATGTGATGAATGTGCAAGGATCAAGAAGATTTTGGAGCATTACCTGAAAAACAGCCCTGCAGGACCATTTACTATATCATGCGAAGGATGGACGAACACGAAAAAGGATCCTGTAGTCAATATTATGATTGCCACTCCAACGCCGATATTCTATAAGGCTTTGTAGACTGGAGATAATTCTCATACTGGAGAACACATGGTCGCTATCATAAAGGAAGACATTATTTCCGTGGGCGGGATGGTCGACTACACTGATTTTACGAGCCGTGGGATATCAGCTGTCGTAACAGATAACGCCTCCGCGACAAAAAAAGACATGGAGAATTCTCAAAAACGATTATCCATCTTTAACTATCCTACCTTGTCTGGCGCACACATTGCATCTGGTTATCAAGGAGTTTTTACGGTATGACCAATTTACCTCAGTGGTCGACAATTGTCTAAAAGTGACTTAGTATATCTTGAGTCACCACCACTCGAAGGCAAATATTGAAAGTGCATGACAGCAAGCAACGTTCAAATTATAGAAAACCTTAAAGATATCAGGTGACACCAGATGGGGTGCACACTTTCGGATGGTTGATGCTGTCTCAAATGCAAGGCTAGCCTTGCATAATCTTTTGTTTACCTCCAGTAATGAAGTACGGAAAAGGAATGCTTACCCGTGGGACAAGACCATTCTTTCACTCTTAACGTCTGACGATATATGGAATGACTTGCCATTCGTCCATCGAGTCCTAGGAGAATTTAACAAGATCCTCGATAAAATTTTAAGCGACGCACCCACGTTTGGAGATGTTTTATCTATTATCAACAGCACTCGCACTGGAAATATTCATATTCTTTTTGCATGGAAGGAAGGAATCTTAGTAACAGAACCACAACATACTTTCATACGTCACTGAAAGATAAAGGAAAAGTCACTACAAGCCAGGCTCGATGGTTGTCTTATATTGATGCATATCAACGAAGCTTTTCTTGCAGACTTGTTGCATCCCAGACACATGGGTCAGAGCTTCTCGTCGAACCAGTATACGCGTGCTAAGGACTTTCTTCAAAAGATTTAAACGGGAACGAGGCTTTTTACAACGAGGTCACCAATCAGTTAAATTGTTTATAGAGCCGAAGTGAAGAATTTTCCATTCTGAAATATGGCGTCATATCGATATCCCTTCTTCAGATGTGGAAGTTTCTGCAGCAGATGGGTAGCTTTTGCTGCCAAGATCCATCTCCATTAAACATTCCGAGCTGAGACAGGTAATGCGTGTTTGTTGGTTTTATTGCTTGATTGTAAATGAGTCCTTTTTAGTGTAGATTGCCATGAAGCTCTTGTCCGTACCATCATCAGCCGCCGATGCTAAATGATGTTGGATCAGCTTGGACTTTATACACTCTAAGAGAAGAAATAGCTTACTTGGATCAAGAGCAAGTATATTAAGCTATATTAATATGAACACAAAGGAATCAAGTGCATACGAAGATCCAGTTGGGATAAACTCAGCTATCTACGACCGTGAAAGAAAAGAGTAGAGTCGTCGTGTCATCTGCAGAGGTTCGTTGCAGAGCCCGTGGTGGCGATAGAAACCAGACCGTGTTTGAAGCTCAATATATCGTGGAAAATGACGGGGGACAAGACTATGAACAGTTAGCGATGTCAATCACGGAACATGAAGGGACATTAGAAGACGACGGCGATATCGACTTCGGTACTCAGACTGCGAATTCTATCGTATCCTGCGCGGTCGCAAAATAATCTTTCATGATGATATCGACTTTTTAAGAGAGGATAGTGATTGTGATGATGAAAGCAGCAAGAGCAGGAAAGGAGGAACACAGCACTAGCTAGAGTGCCACATGCGCAAACATTTATAACGTAAAATTGTCTACCAGATAGCAACGCTTCAAATATTTTTCGTTGGTTAAAACTAATTATGATCATTCTTTCCATGCTATTATGCAGAAGCTAGCCGTTATCGTTATTGTCTGCTATTGAAGATGCTTAATGGTCAAATTTTATTGTATTCAGATTGCTATAGAACCTGCTATATATATATATATATATACATTGAAGTAGAAGCATGACAAAAGATGACATTATAAATTAATTGAAGCAACCATATACCATGCTTTGAGGAAGTCTTGTAAGATGAAAGAAGTGTGGGGAACAAGAGCATAGGAAAAGAGAGGTAATAAATCTATTCCATTAATTAAAGAAAGCTGTGCTGTTAAACATCAGCCACTATCGGTACAAAACAGCTTGTTGCGATGCATCATAATTTGGGCCTCAAAACGCATTTATTATATCACAATGGATACATCGGTAACTTAGCGTCCAACAACATGGATCGTTTGTGGTGTAGGTAACTTCCAAACGTGGTCTTCCCTACTCTTGACTTAATTATAGGAAAGGTGAACCCGAAGATAGAAACCAAATCGCTCCGACGTCGACATATCGTAACTCGACGAGGAGACACTCGAAGAGAGAATAATCGACGAGATAAGTCTCGACGAGTCAAGACTCGACGAGCGAAAACTTGAGGAGAGAAGTCTCGACAAGATAATACTGACGAGTCGACAACCGACAAGTGAATACTTGACGATAGAAGACTCGACGAGAGAAGACTCGACGAGCGGAGACTCGACGAGAGAAAACTTGACGAGAGAGGAATCAACGATGAAAGACTCGACAATTGAAGTCTCTACAAGAAGGGACTTGACCAGTCAAGACGGGACGAAGGAAGACTCGACAAGAGAAAACTTGACAAGTGAAGACTCGACGAGAGAGGACTCAACGATTGAAGACTCGACGAAAGAAGACTCGACGAGAGAGGACTCAACGATTGAAGACTCGACGAAAGAAGACTCGACGAGAGAAGACTCGACGGGATAAGACTTGACGAGTGAAGCCTCGACGAGTGAAGCCTCGACGAGAGAAGACTCGACGGGAGAAGACTTGACGAGTGAAGACTCGACAAGAGAAGATTTGACGAGAGAGCAAGATGATGGTCGGCTTATCACACTAGACATCAGTAGAGGATGATGAGGGAAACGACGAAGAACCACTCAAGAGTCCCTTCGCGGTTAGGGGGGGGAAAGAGATAATCAATACAGTGCAGAATTTTCGAAGTCAAAAAAACACGTACACTTAAGTTAAGTCCCTGCGAGGGCTAGTCTATGCCTACTGTTGAACGTCGAAGAATAAGGTGGTGTAAGGAATTTTTAATAGTGATATTTTATAATTTGACTTGACGATAGGAGTTATAGACCCGACGAGGAAATTCGGAGCATATAGAGGTCGACGAGTCAAAGTTCAACGATAAAAGACTCGAAGAAGTATGTCTCGATGAGGTAAGACGAGATGAGCGAGGACAAGACAGGTCAAGCCGCAACGAGAGAGCAAGACGATGAGCTGTGTATCCCACTCTCCATTTCGATAAGACGACTGGGGTGAAGAAGAATCACTTATGGGTCCTTCTGCAATCAGGAAAGAGATAAGATATATAATACAGAGTAGAATTTTCCACGTCTACGACACTTGTACACTTTTTCGTTAAGTCCCTACGTGGGCTGACTTCTGCCTGCTGTCGTACTTCGAGGGGCATAGATTGTATAGTTCTCGATTAAATGTGCCAAGAGTCAAGTCGGCCTGGGGTGGACATCGCTCGCTTTCAGAGAAAGATAAGTCTTATCGCACGGCGGGCCGGTAACTCAGTTTACAGCACCGCCTTAAGTCTCGTCGCACGGCGAGCCAGTGACCCAATAGACGGCACTTTCAGATACACGCAAATAGCGAGTCAGTGATAGTGATCTAATAGACTGCAATAACCTAAAACGCGTTAGGCGACGAGCCAGTAAGTCTCTAACCAAGGACACCGGAAATATTTTGACTGGGCTTAAACTGCACCCGGTTACCTGTAAAAGCTTGTTAACGCCGACGTCGATTCGTTAGTACGAGGTCACATGATTAAAGTAGAGGAAACTGATGATCTCACGTAGTCTTCTGGAAAGGGGTGTCGGTGTTTGGATGTACTCAGCTAGGCGTAATCCACAACAAGAACCGAAGGGGAAATCCGGAAAGGGAAGTGCTCCGGCGTGCGAGCCCGTTTCGCCCACTCAACTTAGCAATTGATTTGTTTGTGCGTTGAGTCTGTACAAATACAAATCTGACTACCCACTTTACTGCAACTAGTGCCGCAACCCGGGTTTTCAGGGTGTGCGGATTATATCATAGTAACCAAGCAACCATCTTCGGTATATATATATTTAAAAAAAGGGATCGGCGAGATCTCAGCGACTACTAGATGACCGTCGCGCGCCGAGTCTAATCAAGCAAGAAAAAATAACACCGAAGCGAGAATCCGATTCGACAAATTAGTCGGGAATAGCGATGGAATGGAAGAAGAAGAGGGGGGGGAGTCGTGTACAAATATGTAAAATAATTTGAGGATGATGAAGAAGGACATTGTTTACACGCAGAGCAAATTATTCACGCGCAAGCAAGAAGCATGGCGTGCCCAAGTAGTATATGATTTGTGAAGACTGTATACGAGGAGGGTTCGAATTGGTCTTATAGGATTCCATTACAGAACACCTCTCAAATAGCTTTCGAGATTCGAAGAAAATCACATACCTTAAACTAAGAAAGGTGTTCATCGATTCTTAAAAAAATG